ATCTATTAAACTTAGTATTCCATTTCTGTATTGTGTTTACAGTATATACAAAATTAGGGGGTGAAATATTATTTAAATGACTATTAACCATCTAAAGATAATCGCATACAATATATAAAAAAATAAATGTGCTTTTTATTTTTTAATTTGAATTTTATTACTTTAACTATAAATAGAAATCGCTATGGAGTTATTAAAATGAGAAAATTCAGACTATTATAGTACAATAAATTCTCATTACTGGTAATTAATATAAACTTAAACAGGTTGTCTCATCAAACACGTTATAAGTAATATGTTCTGCCTCTTAAAAATTTAAATACAGAAGAAAATATTGAAATTCTCGGCAGTACATTTTATATTCAAAAATTACTAGAACAAGCTAAAAACACGTTCTAAAAATAAATTATATTTCTAGTCACGGAACCGTTTTCTTCCTAGAAATGCTGACTTTTCAATATTCAATGACGGTTTTTAACGATTTCCTAAACCCTTTCTTTAATCGAAAGCTTCTGTTATTGAAAGCTTTTTCCTTAGACAAAAAACTAAGAAAAAGGTTATAGTATAATATTCATAACTTAATTAAAATTAGATGAAATTGTAATAGTAATATACTTAACACATCCGAACGTTCCATAGCTTTTTATTAAATTTGATTTTACAATAGAAGTTATTAAAAATTCGTTGGTGTTTGATAAATATCTTTTGTACTGAAGGTATGTTATTTTTATGTAAACAGGAACAAGCAGAATTACAAAGAAATGTAATAACGGCTTGAAATTGCATTTTGACTGTCAACTTAAGGAGAAAAAAAATCTAATAATAATTGATGAAAAATATGATAATAATTGAAGAAATCTAACAATGAGTAAGTATAAATGCAGTAATAATTGAAAAGGAATAAAATAATAACTTAAAACATGATGGTATTAACAAAGAAATGTAATGAAATTAGCTCAGAAACACAATAATAGCAAACAATTATAATAACAATCGAAATTAAATATAATGAAATACGAGAAATAATAATTAAGAAGAAATGTAATCAAAATTTAGAAGATTTAAAATAATAACTTGAAATAATGTAATAACTTAAAATAATAACTTGTAATAATGACCAGAAGAATGTCGTTACAGTAACGAAGAAACACAAAAATAACTAACAATTATATTAACAATTGCAAATAAATTTAACAGTTAGGAATTAATGAAATAATAAATGCAATCATAATTCAGAAGTAATAAAATAATAAATTGAAACATATTAATATTAACAAAGGAACATAATAAAGATAGCGAAGTTCTTAAGAACCTAAGAATTAAGTCACATTACCCAAAAAATGACAAAAATACCAAAATTTTTTTATTGCTTATAATAAAACATGAAACTATTTCAAATGTACAGAAAAAAATTCATCTCTCTATCTACATTTTTAAAAAAGTTATGAATGATTTTAAATTGTTCTAATACAGAAACTTGCTCAGCAGTCTGACTTTAAAGTGCTTTTTCGAATAGATGATAATTTTGTGTCTTAATCTTAATTAAATCCCTAAGGATTTTTTTCTATTTAAGATAAGGCTTTGAAGTAAACTTTTTTATCTTGAGAATAATACACTTATTTAAACTGTGCATGGAATAAGCATTTTATGAGGTATTACAACTTTTACGGCATGTTATATATACCTAACAGGAATTTTTACCCTTTTTTTTGTACTTTTTTACAAAATAATCTATAAAAAATATTCTAATTCATATATCAACAAATGAATGCACAAAATTGTTAAGATAAATATTGCAAGCACTATGAAAAAAACTTTTTTTGAAAATATGTTAAAATAAAAAAGCCTTAGGGATTTAAAAATTTAGAATTTTTTCAACTTTTTTTAAAATTTTAAAAAAATTAAACAGTTTAATTACTTTTTGAAGATAAATTATTGATTATAACTTAAATGAGCATGTAAAGCATCCTCAAAATGAATGATTATACCTTTATTTTAAAAAATGTTTGCAAAGGTACTGTGACCCCTTAAAGATCTTATTAGTTTTAATTATCGCTGGGGCATTTAAAACATTTCTTATCACCTTGGCTGCATCAGGCAAAGTAGACACGCTTGAAAATTTTGACTTAAGGAATGTCCGTTATCAAGAATGCGAGGAACCAACAATTGCTGCACTTTTTTGAAATGTTGGTTATAAATTCAATTTCAACAATGAGAAAAATATTTCTCCCTAGTCACATCAGCTTATCTTGATACCCTGGAATCTTGTCTTATTCTTTTGAATGCTGATTTTTTTGCTAACGACATTAGTTCCGCACCACCTTTCCATGGTGCTTGGAAATGCATTTTACATTGATTTGCCACTCTCAGCAACTGGTTTTAACATTCAGCTTTTCATTTCTTTTTTTCGTCCTCGGCTACTGTGGTTTTTCTAGCTTTGTTTCTCGCTTTTATTTTTCCAATTTTCGCTAGCAACTTTACGTTTTATATTTCAAATCATTTTTGTTTCCTTTCATTCTCGTCTGACAAGTTTGAAAATGGGAGCCTATTTATGAGCGCTTGAGAAACGGCGACTGTTATTTCCAATTTGCATATTTTGGAAGCGAATGAAGTTTTTAATCAAACAACTCTATATGGTTCTATATTATAGTAACTCAAATATAATCAGAAGAGCCGTGATGGCTCGGGGGATAGAGCATTCTCCATCCAATGAGATGAACCGGGTTCGATCCCGGTGATGGCTGGTCGATACGAATTCCGCATCCGGCTTGCATGGACCACAGTGCTGACGTGAAATACCCTCAGTGGTAGACGGATCACGGGTTAGAGTCCCTTTGCCGTCAGGCTAACCTTGGGAGGTTCTCGTGGTCTTCCTCTCCGTGCAACTCAAATGCGGGTTAGTTCCATCAAAAAGACATCCACGAAGACCAATTTTCTCCCAATACTCAATCCTGGAGTTCCCTTGTCATCTGGATTGGGTTCAAAGTTACAAGGCTACGGAGTTTAACATTAGTAGTCGTGAACCCATAAAATTGGGTCAGCTGTTCAACGACGGTTATTAAAATAAAATATGGTCAGAAGTTTTAACAGTATTGCCGATAATACAAAAAACTAAGATATACTTTATAGAAAGGATAAAAAATGCTTGAATTTGTACTCAACTGGACGCTTAAGTAAATAAATAATAATGTATATAAAATAGAGTAAAATTAATTTAGGCTTCGAAATTATTAGATATCAATGATTGCTACATGCATTGTTTTACAATATTATTAAGAATTTTGTAAAGTGTTGTGAGAAATATTGGATACAAGACAATTCTCAATGAAACCAAAATGAAGTGATCTTAAACCAAGCAATGTGTTGGAAATCATTATTCAAACAAAATATATTAAAATTAGTAATGAAAACGTAGATTTAACTTAAACGTAGAATATCCACAATAATTTCAGATCGTTTTTTTTTTTCCTTCTTCATTTTTTTCCGGTATCCACAAAGCTGTGGAAAAAAAGCTCAAGACCCCCGATATATAGAACACTGAAAGATACTGAGTCGAATTAGACTTTTCCTTTCTCTCATCTTCTTTTTGGTTTCCTTTTTAAAATCTATTTTTGTTATTGAAGATTTGAAAACTTCAATCATGTAGATAAATGCCAAATCTTAAAGCCTAATCATAGATGCTGAAAGTCATGGTCTCTCCATTACCATAGCAACCATAAAATTATATAGTAAGATAGATTTAAACACTTTTACATGATTAAGGTGAAGTTTCAAGCCCAAAATTAAATATATTCTAAAGGCCCCTCACCTGGTACATCATTTTTAAAAATACTTAAAAATGGGACCAAATATAATAATAATAAAGTAAAATTTTTTTAAGATTTCCGCTATTAGAAATTAAATTTGAAACAAATCATAAAACTTCAAGTCATTCATTTTTAAGACACCACAAAAATAGCGGATCAGTCGCAAACTTTGCGGGCCCCTTTAAATATTCTCCTTCTGTGGTGGTTCCGGTAAAATAAATCTCACTTAGAATCCTAAATTGTTGCCTATATTATTGAAATAAATATATTTGTTTGTTATTTTTATTTCCTTTTCGAGTTTAATTCTCAAAAAGAAAAAACTTTTTTTTTTCTTTTTTTCTACATAGTGTTTAATTTTTATGTACACATCGTTAGTGGCCCTTAAAAGTAAGAAGTTTTGTATTTAAGGGTCCCAATTATATAATCATTTAAAAATTATTCGATACATACATTATTTTATCTAGATGAAATACTATAAGAGAATATTTTGGATATTTCAAAAAATAAGTAAGAAAGTAATGTAAAGCAATTCCACAACAGTCCATTGTGGGTTAGTTGGATCATGGAAATTAAGGCTTGACACTTTCATGAACTACTGTATAATTATGGCAATGTCAACGGCATTGAGCACAGACCGCTTTTACAAACCAAAGAAACTGGGTAAGCATCAAGCCGTTATTGGAGATCAAAGCCCAATCTTTTGGAATGATAGTTCATTTTCCAAACCATTGAACCATAAAATATATAAATTTTTATTGTCATTAAAAACATTTATTTTACAAGCACTCTTCCCCCACCCCCTATTAAGTTCAAGGAATCGACACAGCTTCTCTAGACCTTGTACAAATGCCCCGTTTGTGCGACCTTATGACGTCACTGAGAACGATAATAATAATAGGGCCCCTCAAAAAATTCACCTAGGATCTTTCAAAATATGAGGACTTAAAGCATCCATGAAAGAGACTTCACAAAAAGTTTGATTTAAGCATTTACCAAATCTAAAGATGGCTTTAAACATCCATCTTATCTTATATAAGTAAAACAATTCTTTCCTTATCAAACTAAATCAAATATAAAACAAAAACCAAATACAACTTTTAGCTTGCATATAAGATAATGGATGGGAATATCTTTATCTGTTAATATTTTTTGTTCTTTTTCATCGCAGCCACCTGCAAACGATTTCATATGAAAATGACGTCACCGTTTCTCACAGGTACACAAATAACGTTTCCCCTTGCACGTGTCGCAGGCCGCTTAGAATTTATTAAGCAGAGCAAATTAGAAGCCCCGGCCATTTGTCGTAATTTACGAGACATTTTCAATCGCCTGGATTTAACACACAATCATAATGGATTTTTAACGGCTTTCAGTTGATGGTGGTGATCTTATTGTGTTCTGAGAAATGTGAAGCAGTTTCGAAAGTGTTCTAAGGACTGAGCTCAATATTCATTCGCCTTAACGCACCTATTGAGTTGGAGTTATAGTGCCAATCTTGGGAGAGAATCTTAAGTTCGGCACGTTATGCATTCATAGGAGATTTTTAAAGGTAATGATTTTTAAATTTTTCATATCTCTCTTTTTTTAATTGTAATTATGTTTAAGAGGTAAGACCGCTATGACCGATTAAAAGAAAATAGAATTTTTTTAATTTTTATTAATACATAAACAAGTACAATGGGGAAAAATATTCACCTGAATGATTTTCTATTTAATAATCGGAATTTTGCATATATATTAAGATGCAAACATATTTCTACTAAAGGCACATGTTGAATGCATACTAATATTTAAAATTTGGAAATAAATATACTATTAAAAAAATCATTATTTCATTTGCATCTTAAAAGGGAAGTATACATTTGTAAAATTCCTATTGAAGCGAAAACAAGCTTAAATTAAAGCGCATGGTCAAAAATATGGAAAATGGTGAAAATTTGCCTTAACTTCAGCCCATGAGTCATTTAATTATAATATTAAAAAAAAACCTCGAGAGGTTATGCATTTGGGACCAAGTGTTTATGATATCTGAATCATGTCTTAGAAGATGCTTGTATCGCAGTGGAGGAAAGATTTTAATTTTTATTTCTTAATACTGAGAAGTGCTTTTTTTTTTTTTACCTTAAAGCATAGATATTAAGAACATATTTGATTTAGACTGAAATCTCCAGTTTTTTGAATGTCTAAAAATTTATGTTTTTAAATAAAAACAACTAATTTAAATTTTTATTTTAAATTTGATTTCCAAAACTAGCTAAGTAAAATTTTAAATTTTTCATCTAAAAATGCTTATTTTTCTTTTATAGCTGAGATAAATTAAAATTAGCGTAAAAGTATTTATGCATTTCTTTTAAATATTTTAATTTCAGAATGAAAAACCTTAATTTTATTTTAAAAAAATTATTGAATGGAAAATTTTTATAAAAGAGAAATAAAACAAGTAAGAAAAATGAAAATAAAATATATTTATTTTATTTCAATTAGAATTTCGACTGAAGAAACTTCTTTTTTTAATGATTAATATTTACAAAAAGAATCCTATTTAGCTAACGAAAAGAAAATAATATCACTTTTATTTAAGCGGATACTAATGTATTTTAATCTAACTTAAGTTTAATGGCGGCCCTCTTTTTATCACGAGGCTCTAAATTTATCCACCATATATCTATATCAGGAACTTTTTGTTTTATATGCATTGAATTCAATTTATATGCTTGACGATTTGATCAACAGACATACTATATGGAAATGAACATTTGATTCAATGCTACATGGAAGTTTTATTTAAACAAATAATTCATTGATTTTCCCGGTAGCCACAAATCTAAACATAAAAGCTTGGAGACATAACTGTCTCGGTTCTAGGAAAAAAAGGAACCGGAATAAAAGGTACGGAAAAAAAGGTCCCCGAAAAAAAAGGTACCTGGAAAAAAAGGTCCCGGAAAAAAAGGTCCCAGGAAAAAAAGGTCCCGGTAAAAAAGGTACCTGTGTAGGGAAAATTCTGTAGGGGAAAATATTTGAAATGAAAAGATTAGATTGAAGCGCTTTTTGCTGTTCCGTGCATGTTTTTTTTTTTTCGTGTCGCGCGTTTTTAACTAATTAAAAAGGACCAATACTTTCACCTCCAATCACGAATAAACATCCAACACATAAATCCTCCCAACTTCCCCGATTGGCTGGCCACTTTAAGCCTCACATTAGCAACTTCTTCACAAAATATAATTTAAAATAGAAAATAACACATTTTTCACTTTAAAAAATTACAAAAAGAAAGTAAAACATTATTGAAAAATTTAAATAGTATCTTCCCGCTTTAAAAAATAATCAAAGAAGAATAAATAAATGAAATAAAAATTTAAAAAAAAGCGTAGTACAACCAGCCCCTTACCCTTCTTCTTACCTCAATGATCTAATCTAAATTATTACAGCTAAAAAGAATATTCATTGAAACAGCGAGAAGCATTCATGCTGCCCAGAAAGCGAGAGGGGAAATATCCCTACAGATTTTCCCTATGGAGGTACCTTTTTTACCGGGACCTTTTTTTCCAGGGATCCTTTTTTCTGTACCTTTTTTTCCGTACCTTTTTTTCCGGGAAATTTTTTTCCGTCTACCAACTGTCTCAAGTACTTTGTCCTATCATGAAGTCTTAAAATGTGTAAAAAAAATATAGAAAAAGGTTCACAATAAAGAAATAAAAGAATAGTCAAATCGAACTAAAAATAAAAGTAATATTCCTGAGCTAAAACAAAAGTGCTGATTGAGTCAATGTGCAGTTTCATTCAACATTCATTCATTCAACATTCTTCACTCAACATTCATCCAACATGCGAATTTCTGTTGATTCTGTTTTACTTTTGCATTTAAACACCTCTTTCTTCCGCATTAAACATCATTAAAACTAAATTTTAACTCTAAGTTACTTTGAAGCTTGCATAAATTGATAAGCATGGCATAAATGAATTAACTCTGTTTATTTACATGAATAGTTTGCTTTTAACTTCTTATTTCTGCCCTGTTTATATCTCCATTTATTTAAGTTCTTTGTTGGCAACGAAAAAAAAATCAACGGTTTTAGGACAAGATATGTATTAGTGTTCTACATATTATCGATGATATGTCACACGTCGTCTCATTATATTTTACTAAATGAGTGTTATTATTTGTGTCAGAGTGAATACATTTCTAAAAAAACATTCATAACAATACCGTAACAACGTCGAAAATAAGTAACTTATATTTAAAGTTTTTGATAGTAATTTTTTTCTATAAGAAAAAGTGTACATATGAAGTGACAAATATCAAGCTATATATTTTTTCTAAATTTATTTCCAGATGCCTTCAAGCTACTAGAATGGGCCAAGATATAAGTAAAATCAAAAAGAATAATGAGCCACTATCTGAATTCAGAAAAAACAAACTCCTTTACGAATTCAATACATTTTATGGTAAGACTATATTTCTTTGATGCTTTCTGACTTAGTGGGTTACATAAAACATTTCTATTATTTATTGATATTTCAATACATTTTGATGAGTTACTGGCGACATATATCCAAAACGGTTAGTCAAACCGTCAGGTTAGAATTGATCGGAAACAGGGGATTGGAACTGACCCATTCAAAAAATATTAAAAATATTACGTTGTAGTGATTTATCGTGCACTTAAAAGCTAAAATACATCGTATAAGGATGTTCCGAATTTAGAAGTTTGATAAAAAGTAAGAGGATTAAAACTTATCACCCTGAGAAAAGAATATGGTCAAAACTACTTGAATACACTAAACTTTACCATGCTTTTGGCTTTACGCTAGATAAAAAATGCTAGATAATTTTTACCGAAGCGCTTTGATAATGATTTTGGTAAAATTTGCAATAAAATATGGTTTTATAACTTATGATAAAATTCGAAAAAAATTTTATAACTTTCAGTAATTTTATCATGATACCTTAGAACACACTTAGAAACAAACATTTATTAGGACAAATATATTTTTCAGTTTTGTATATTTTACTAAATGTGTGATAATAAGAATTTTAACTTTGAAAACCAGAATTTCCGGTAAACCGTTACCATAGATGGAAGAAATCACTAAATGAATGGTTTAAATATTGTATATTTTTGTTTTATTAACCAGAATTTTGTTTTTTTTATTTAGAAATGTCATTACCATACAGTACGCTATTTTACCAGAAATTTTGTTTTTTGGTACATAAGGCGATGGGTCTTCAAGCCACGCTACTGAATTTATCTGGTGACGTTACGAGGGTGATAAGGCCAAAAAAACTTTTACAGGTTACAACGTCACACTAGAAAGCAAATACGAAGGATTTAATTGATTAATTAAGACAAGAATTTTTTGAAGTGGCCCTTTCTGGCATTATTGTGCAATCCACAACGTCGTAAAAACTATTCCTGGATGCAATTGAGGGTGCCAAGTATGTTTTTGATGTCTTCCAGCTACAATAATGAGCAACAACTGCCATCTTTCGTCGCTTCTGAGTTCAGAGCATTCAAGCGATTTTCACCTTCTCAAAGTAGTTTTGCAACCAAACAATGATCCATCTGATGCCCTTAGTCCTCCTTCTGAATTTATCTGAATAATTTAGGAACATTCTATATTTAAATCAAACTCATGATCTATTTTTAATGAATGAGTAGTGACTGTAACAATGAGTATAATCAGTGTTGTTTGTAAATTGTTTAAAAAAAACTTTTTTTAACTCTAGTCACCCAATTAATAGTAATTTCAATTACTCTTGTGATTTTAATAATTTAGAACCGATTTTTTTTCTATTTTGATCAGTTTATAAAACATACGCACACACTGAGTATTTCATAATCATCCTCCTGAATAAATATCTTTAGAATCCTTAATAGTCTAACAAAAGCTCTCAAAACATTTCTAACGCTAAAAAAAAAAAAGAAAAAAAATGTTGTCAAAAAATTGCTGTGCTGAATCTCCCTTCTGTTAGAAGGGGGAACTAAAAACTTCGAAACCATTTTGATTGCCTTATTAAACTTTGAAGCATTTTTTATAATCGCACATCACACATCAACTTTGTTTCCTCTTACAAACAAACAAATTTTGATGTTTTCGGAGTAGTGATTTATTATATTTTATTTGCGTTTTTACATTGTTCTTTGCTTTGCTTTTAATTTTGGACCTGTAATCTTTATGCTTTATTTGCTGCGGTTCTATAAAATAAATGTTAAAGGCGGCTATTACAGAACAGCGTTTAACTTTATTACGTAAAAGGGAAAGTTTCTAAAACAATAATAAAGTTTGCAGAATAAAAATACTGCACTGCAAGTTTTCTAATTTTACCGTATATGTCACATTTGAAATGCTGATTTGTTAGCCAATTACTTTAGGAGAAAGAATCGGTTGCTGTTTTGTTGGATAATTTTAAAATATTCATATTTCTTATAATTTAGAATTTATAACATAGACGTGCTTGAAATGAATTATGCCCGGCTGACAATACATTAATTTTCTCCCAAAAAAGCGCAAATAATAATAAATTATTCAAGTCTTTTGTAGAAATAAAACAATAAAAAAATCCAGTAAAACCAGAAAAAAATAATAGAGAAGGAAAAAGAAAAAAGCTTACTCTTGTTAATATAAAATCTGAATCTTAGCCTTTAGTTTTCCACCTTTGATAAAAATGAAATGATAAAACTAAACCTACAGAAACTTATTTAAATTCAATACACGTAGCTGAAAGATAAAAGCAAAGAAAAAAGCAGGAGGAGCAAGAACTCTCTTATCGTTTTAACTAATAGAAAAATAATTTTTAACCGCGCCTTTTAACAATCTTTTGTTTGAGTTTATACGCTTTCCACTATCTATAATTTAAATTTTTTAAAAATTATCTGCTGAGTAATTGAAAACAAATAAATTTATCTTTTCAACAAAAAAAATTTCACAGAAGAAAAAAAATTTAATGTTATCATTATCATTTTTATTTTAGATTTGAACAAAGACGGTGTGATCACAGAATCTGACTTTTTTATGGTTCAAGAGGTATGGATTTCCTTTATTGATCGCTTTATGTATTTGGTTTAAGAGTTGGTTTATTTTAATCTATAAAAAGGCATTGATTTATATTCAAAGAAATAATACTTTTCAGGAATAGCCCTTTTTTTAATTTTCTTTTCTCTTTAAGGGGAAGTTTTTAGTTAAAAAAAACACAATCAATCAAAACACTTCGTTAAAATTTACAGAGATTTTTTGTTTTCCCATTGAACTAGAAACACAGTAAATTTTACCATATTCTGATGGTTTTTATCGTTTTTTTTTCTCATTTCATCGAATTTGATCATGACAGTTTTCTCTCTCAATATAAAATTTTGAAAAAGAAACAGAAATTTCAAATAGTTCATATTTTATAAAATTAAAAAAAAAAAAAAATTATGAATATGTAACATAGAAACAGGATTGACAAAAATATACCGAAATTATTTTATAATATTGCAGTGAGGACAGTTAGCAAACAATTATCGTATTTTTACTTTATATTAGTCTAATTAATTAATTTTACCACATATTAGTCTATCTAATTAACATGGGATTATTAGAGGATGATTAATTTTTAGAAACAATTCAGATTTAATTTACTTAATCATGTCTAATTTGGTTTAATTATATTAACATTGTGAATTTTTCCCCTCCTCCTAACTATTTCTTAAAATATGCATTCTTAAAAAAAGAAAAAATTTCATTATTTTGAATAAATTACTTCATAAATGTTTTTTTTCTTCGAAATAATATGAAAGGTTAACTCTTTGTCGCACATGAGACACCAATTGCCCATGTTTTATATATTTTTTGGTGCTTTAAATATCAAGTAAAAATAAGTTTGGACATTATTCAATTACAATAAACAGTCTAATAGTGACTAAAAAAATCTATCAGATAATCGGAATAATATTTATACCAATCTAAAATCCGAAAAAAAGTAGTTTCAAAAATGAATTTTTAATACAAATACCAACATTTGTTTTTGTAAATTAAAGAAATTTCAATAATGAATTACTGTTTTTCTTAGATCTAAATAACAGCAAATTTTAAAAATCATTGTTCCGAAGTGAGCCTTCATTCTATATTTTCCAGGGGACACAAGCGTTCTTATCTGCGCCTATCTATTCCTTTACATATCCATAAATTAAGAGAATTCTAAATAAAATATTTTGCACTTATTTTGACCTAAATAAATTCAAAATAATAAAAAAGTCTGAAAAATTTGTTTACGGAAAATTCTGCTTCAAAGGGTTAAAAGTGAACACAGTGCACACAATTTATACCGATTTAAATTTATTAATAACAATAGTTAGTATTGATTATTATTAATAACTCTTGTTAGAGTCGCGATGGCTCAGGGGATAGAGCGTTCGCCTTCCAATGAGGCGAACCGGGTTCGAATCCCAGTCGATACGAATTCCGCATCCTGCTTGCACCGACCACAGTGCTGATGTGAAATATCCTCAGTGATAGACGGATCATGGGTTAGATTCCCCTTGCCGTCAGGCTAACCGTGGGAGGTTCTCGTGGTCTTCCCCTCGATGTAACACAAATGCGGGTTAGCTCCATCAAAAAGTCCTCCACGAAGGTAAATTTCTCCCAATACTTGATCCAGGAGTTCCCTTGTCTTCTGGATTAGGATAAAAATTACAAGGCTACGGAGTTGAACATTAGTAGTCGTAAACCCATAAAATTGGGTCGGCTGATCAACGACGGTTATAAGTAAAATAAAAGATAACTCTTGGTAAAAATTTATAATTTTTAGAAGAGAAGAAAATTCCCTTTGTTTCGTTTATAAAATACGTCATAAATATTACATTTCCACCCCTTTTATAACTATTTTCAAAATACTTTCATTGCAAAAAGATTAACTTTTAATTTTAATAACTTTTTAATAAAATAATCAAGAAATTTAACTCCCTTAAATATTACAAATGATTTAAGGGGAAGACAACAGTAATTTTCTTAAAAATGGCCTCTTCGTTTAAGTTAAATTATTAACGTATATAATTACATTATTTTGATCTACATTTAAGATAGTTAATGTTATTAAAAATGTAGAATGAATCTCAACCACGTTTTATTACATAAAAATTTTCTTTAAAACCTCTTAAAACGAGAATCGAGAGGTATAGTTTTGTAATAGTATTGGTGTAGTTTTCGCTGCGCTTAGCATTTAAAAAAAACAATACCTTAACGAAATAGAGGAATATTGAACAAAGCAAGAAACTCTGACAAGCACTGAGAAAACACTGTTTGCCACCAAAGCTTAATTAACCGTTTCATTCGAATTCTGCACAGAGAAAAAATTTTGAGAAAATTACCTTACTGTAAATTCTGATTTTCAAAATTATAGTTCTTACACATTTAGTTGAAAAAAATGGAAAACGAATTTTAATCGAATCAATTGTTTTTATTCCATGCCCTAAGTATCATCAGAATAAATTTTTTTCGCATAATATAAAAGCATTTATTTTTATTAATCTTACTAAACCTATTACCATAGCGGGAGGGCAAAATTTACAGAGATTTTTGATATTACCATTTAGCCAGAAACACGCTAAATTTTCCCATATTCCGTTTGTTTCAACCATACTTTTCTCTCCGTGTACTACAACAGTAAAAAGAACCACACTGAATAATATAAAGTTCAAAATAATGTTAACAAGCTGTGTTTAAATGTAATAGCGCTTTTCCTTCATAATTTCATAATTTTTTTTCTTTAATATCCTGAGCTGTAAAAAATCCCAGATCAAATTATTGGATAAAGTATCGGCACTTTGGGTGCATCATCTGTAAAATCCATTTTTACATTAAAATATCATATCGTGATTTTTACAGTAATATTTATTTAATTAGTGTCATTCAGTGATTTTATAGTAATTATTACTGTAAAAATTATAGTATACAAGATATTTTGTTGCGTAATATGTTTCAGTAAAGGTGGATTTTGCGGTAAAGAGTACTGGCACTCTGAGTGACGGTACTTTTTACCGGAATTTGATCCGGAAATTTTTACAAATTAAATTAATTCCGACACACTATACACAAGATGTTCTGTAAAAATCGCCTTTTATATGCATCTTTAGGATCCTTATTAAAATTGAAATTGAAAAAAAATTTGAATATTAGAGTAAATTAATATTTAACTGAGTAAAAAACAAAAGCGTCATAGAAATTAAACAAATCACTGTAAAGGAAGGCGAGCGTAATAAACATTCTATGAAAAAAACAGAGAGGAGTTGAAAGACGATTATTAAAAATTCCTTTAAGTTTCAACTTCTAATTAAACCTGTTTCAATGTTTATTATGGACGCCTTCCTGTACTATGATTTGTCTGATCTCGATATCATTTTTGTTTTCTCCTTGGTTACACTTGGTTGTTCTCCTTGATTCATAACTCCCTATATGCATATTTGTTTGTTTTCTTTTTTGGGTAAGGGTCTGAAAGTAGATATAAAGGGTGGTTTTAACAAAAGCATCATATATAATTTTAATGTGACAGCAAAAGGTTAGAATTGGAAAAGATTTGAATTCACATACGCTTCATTACAGAACGCAATTTGTATTTTTATTAAATGAGCCAGAAATCATATTTTTAGGAAAGTGTTTTCAAAAATTCCTTATTAGGCAATTTTTTAAGTATTATAAAATTTATTATAATACTTTAAAAAAATTTTCAATAATACTTTATAAATATATACTTTAATATAAATAGTAATATAATAAATATAAATATATACTTTAAAATTTTAAATAATACTTTATAAAATTTTTCAAAGTTCGTAAAACCAAAAATTTTATTATAAGGAAGATAAATAAAATACGTCATTATGCGAATCTTAAGAATAACGCATTTCGAAAAATGTTTTTGCTTAATAACAAACAAAAATCTTCTATATATCTTTTGAATAAAACACACATTGAATAAGATAGCATGCAGAGTATCTAATTAATTTAAAGCGCAATCGAACTACCAGCATTTAATTATATTCTTAATTATTAACATTTAGAGAAACTTTATTGCTTAAAATTAAACACAACTCATGAATTGAGGTAATTAGCTCATTATTTCCAATGCCGCACATCCGAATACAATACTTCATATCATCAAATCTCATTACTTTCAATTTTGTGTTTCTAATTCCATCCTTTATTGCCTTTAAACAACAAATATACAACTTCATAAAGTTCAGAAATTAAATTACTTTAACGACGTGTCCATTGTTTCATCCGTAATTACTAAAAGTAATTAGTTTTGAAAATATGAAGTCCAATTTATAGTTGTTTTGACAACTGCAATGTAAATCCAATTTTGCTTTAATATCAGAGAGTAAAAGATTTTTGAATAATCTTTTATCAGCAATTCTTATCTTTTTTTTATTCAACATGCTCCATTCTTAAAATATTAATTAAATTAAATTATTAATTAAATTTAACTAAATTAAACTAAATTATAATAATTTAATTATTTTGCTCATATAAAAATAATAATAATAATAATATTTTGAAAATATTTCGATTTTTAGGAATAAATTTATTGTGTGTCCCGTCTTTGCTCTAAACTAGTATCAATACTTTGGGGGGAAATTTTTCTTATATTTATGTTATTAAATAAACACTAGCCTTCTTAGATATAATTTTCAAACATCAAGGATTTTTGAATAATCTTTCATCAGCAATTCTGATCCTTTCTTTATTCAACATGTTCCATTCTTAAAACATTAATTTAATTGAATTATTAATTAAACTTAACTAAATTAAACTAAGTTACAATAATTTAATTATTTTGGGCATTTAAAAATAATAATAATAATTTCTATATTTTGAAAATAGTTCGATTTTTAGGAATAAATTTATTATGTGTCCCGTCTTTTCTCTAAACTAATAGAAATAATTTGGGGGGAAATTTTTCTTATATTTATGTTATTAAATAAACATTAGCCTTCGTTGATATAATTTTCAAGCATCATTTATAAATTTTGATCTATTTTTGAATAAAGAGTTTAAGAAATTTTAGTGTCTGCCATTTTAAAAAATATTTATCACGACAATTGACACTCAAGTGACTAAGAAAATTGTAGTACATTTACATATATTATATTTACATGCATATATTTATAATAAATCAATTCTAAACCCATAACGTTTCACCTGATTTCCACGTCATTTTTGAGATAGGACTCTTATCCTTGCAAGCACGTCATTTCCTTTTAGTCAAATAAGTTATTCATGCAAATTTAAGAAAACTATATGACAGCTACCATAAGACTTATCAGACTCTAATTTTAGTAAAATTATAGTTTTGTAACTTAAAACGACAAGTCAATTAAATGCTACCAACATCTATATATATATTTCTCTTACACGTTTGCGAGCAGGGGGCGCAGCCCACTAGTTATTATTTAATGTATTTGCGATTATCTTATTTCTTAAAATGATTATCACGTAAGTTCTTTTCATAATCAATATTTAAATCACTGCTTATGAGTGCCATAATAAAACAAATTCAACTTCTTTTGAAGGTAAAATGCTTCGTTACAAATTATAATCATGCCAATCGCAGTTCTTTACTTTATTACCGAAACTGGCACTCCATGTAACGATACCCTACCCATTAAAAGTTAGAAACGTACGTTAATTATTTTATTTCAACGTTGCGTGTATAAATAATATTGCTTTTATATCGCTTTTTCGGATTTCAACATTTTAATTAACTCTTTTACACAGATAAATCGTCGTTGTCTCTTATATACATTTTTTTTCTGATGCTCTAATTGCAAGCAAAAATATATTTTGGTATTTTTTAATTATAAAAAACAGTCTAATAGTTATTGAAAAAAATCTGTTAGATTATTGGAATTATATTTGCACTAAAATATAAAATCAAAAAAAAGAGTTTGAAAAAAAATTGTCTTTCATGTTTAAAAATTTATCAATAATTTTCCTTTTAATGAAACAATTTTAAATGATGAATAGCTGTTTCTCTTAAGGTCTGGTTTCTTAGTTAAGAAACCAGGCCTTTAGATCTAAATAATTGCAAATAAGTACAAATTTGAAAAATGATTGTTAGTGAGTCGAGTTTAGAAGTTTTTACCTTCAATGCAGGAAAAGCCACCTGTGTTGCATGCTGTATTTCATAACCATAAATTATTAAAATGCTAAATATAATATTTTTCTCTTATTTTGAACCTAAATTAATACAAGATTATGAAAACAAAGTATTAAAATAAAAAATTTCACGCCAAAATGCTAAATCTTATGGAAAACATGCTTTTATAATTTTACTCCTAAAGTACAGTTGCTAATATACAGTTAAAGAATACAGTTGCTAATATTTTTTCATGCACAAATATTACCCATGCACTTTTGTTTGTCATAAGCATTGTTCAAACTATAAATTGGTTAAGAATAACAATACATTTTAAAGAATGTTACGAATAAAAATGTAAATTCATATAAAATAGAAAATAAATATGAAAATAAAAAATTTACGCCAAAATGTTAAATGTTATGGAAAACATGCTTTTATAACGTTACGCTTACGCAGTTGCTAATATACAGCTAAAAAATACAATTGCTAATATTTTTTCATACACAAATATTACCCATGGACTTTTATTTGTCATAAACATTGTTCAAGCTATAAATTGGGTAATAATAACAACATATTTTATTAAAGAATAACAATATATTTTATTACGAATAAAAATGTAAATTCATATAAAATTGAAAATAAATATGAAAATAAAAATTTTACGCCAAAATGTTAAATCTTATGGAAAACATGCTTTTATAATTTTACGCTTACAGTACAGTTGCTAATATACAGTTAAAGAATACAGTTGCTAATATTTTTTCAAGCACAAATATTACCCATGCACTTTTGTTTGTCATAAGCATTGTTCAAACTATAAATTACTTAAGAATAACAATATATTTCATTAAAGAATGTTGCGAATAAAAGTGTAAATTCGAATAAAAGTGTTGTTTATGTAGTATGTGTGTAAATTAAATGGCTGGGATCCAGATTCCGAAAAGTTCGAGATGACGGAAGACCTGTTTCGTTCCATCTGGAAATCTCTGAGAACGGAAGCAGATGCTGATGATGATGATGCAGTGAGCGCAGAAGAGTGGGTGAGTTTTAAACTCCCATTCATCAAATATATATATTACTGTAATCTCACAAAATTACCTGATGAAAATATTGAGTGTATTTCGATCTCAACTGGATCCACATTTGACAGGATCTAGAAAAGTATTTTAATTATGCTTGTATTTTCTTTTTTTTAACATTTTATGATACAGTAGGGGAGAGTGGGGTCAATTGTAACATTTTTTACTAAACTATTTTTAACTACCAAAAAATCCAATATATTATTAGTATTAATTGGCAGACGAATAAAGTAGACTATCCTCTGCTAGGAAAGAAAAATACCTTATTTTGAATGTTATTATATTAGTTATTAACAATTTTTGACAGTCGTTGACTTGTTACAATTGTCCCCACTTACGAGGTCAATTGTAACAGTTCATAAATTCAGCTAAAACATAGTTAATTATACATATTATCATATTTGGGATATATTTTTTTATTGATCAAAATTATTCGGTTAATAATATTTATTTATTTAAATAAAATTACTATGATAAAATATAAAATTCTAATACCAAAAAAAGTACTCACATAGCGTGAAAATATCTTTTGTGATGTAACTCTTTCAAAAGTACATCAAAATGGTTGCCAGCAGGGGGTACATGCAGATTTATTAAATACACCTTGTGCCCCACCTAGGAACCAAATCTAGAACCCGACACTTGAAATTTTTGCTCTGTTACAATCGTACCCTGTTACAATTGACCCCACTCTCCCCTATATTTTAATAAGTACTGTGAAGATTTTTGCTTGATTGCTTTGCTTGCTCTAAGTAACTAAATAAGACTAAAAAACTGAAAAATTTTCTGAATAAACATGTTTTACTCCAACGAATTTGCGCTCTTGCATTTTGAAATATTGCTAGTAACCCCAATCGAGTAAATATAATCCTTACACATTTGTCTCAAAAACTTGGACCCTATCATAATAATTTTGCTTTTTTCATATCTGTGTAACTACTAAAGTGAACTGAAAATTCTGAATTGTATGGTATCAAAATTTTTACATCATTTTAAACGATTTAATTTTAATTGATTTAATTTTAAATGACATCCTCCAAAAAATGAGCAAAATCTATCACGCAGCAGCTAACACTTGAGAAATAAAATTTAAAAATAAGATTTTTTTTCTTCTTGAAATTTTTTTACATCACATTATTGAATTAAATCCCTTAAGCCATTAAAATGCCTGATAATTTGATCATTAGATCATATGTTATTAAAATATTTCTTTTTATTATCATTATTATTTTGCAAACAATGCGAGACGTCTTGCATCCCTCTTATCTTATTACTATTAAAGCACAAAATTAGTACTGTTAATAAAGTTTTTAACAAACAATCTATTTAATTAATTTTTTCAAGTTTAATTATTTCTGCTTGTGTATTGCAGGTGAAGATGTGGGAAGAATTAGATGAAACTCTAAGAAATGGAAGCAGTGCCCTGCCTGAGTGGTTGACAACGTATCTATGGTGCCGATTCAACATCTACGATAGAACAGGTAATTGTGCACAGAGAGAAAAATTCTGGTAAAGTTATTGTACTGTACGGTAATGGTATTTCTGGGGGGGGGATAATAATTCTGACTAATAAACCCAAAATATATGGTATTTAAACTATTATTTGGAAATTTTTTCGTTCATATGGTAATAGCTTACTGGAAATTCTGGTTTTCAAAATTATGTTTCTTATAAGAGAATGTTCTTATGTTTCTTATTCTCTTATATTATCAGAATAAAACCAAAATATATGGTATGAAAACTATTATTTGGAAATTTTTTCGTTCATGTGGTAATAGCTTACTGGAAATTCTGGTTTTCAGAATTATGTTTCCTATAATTGTGCACACAGAGAAAAATTCTGGTAAAGTTATTGTACTGTATGGTACTGATATTTCTGGGGAGGGGATAATAATTCTGGCTAATAAAACCAAAATATAAGATATTTAAACCATTTTTTTTTTGAAATTTTTTTCGTTCATATGGTAGCGGTTTACTGGAAATTCAGGTTTTCAAAATTATGTTTCTTACCTCCACACATTTAGTAGAAACTGAAAAGTAGATTTAATCGGGAAAAAAATGCTTTCTATCCCATGCTCTAAAGTGTCCTGATAAAACTATCAAATTTTACTTCATTTACCAAAATGTTGTAACCAACTATAAAACTATTTTTTATTGTCAATTTTATCAAAATCGTTACCAAAGGGATTCAATGAAAATTACCGAGCTTGTTGGTATTTCCATAGAGCCAAAAACACGCTAAAGTTTACCATATTTTGTCTGTTTTCATAATACGTTTTTTCTCATTGTGCAATTGTAGTGAAAAGTATTTTCATGCTTTGTTCGTGTATTATTTAAATCAGTAAAAAATAAAATATATAAACCTTCAATTTAACCATTTTTAATGTATTTAACTCTATTTCAGTTTCTTTAAACTCGATAATAATTCGTTAGAGTTTTACAAAAAAAAATTTAAAACGGTATTAGTTCTCCACCCTAATGTGTTTAATATACTTCATTTTTCATATTAATCTAAGAAACACATTTTAAAGATGATGATTATGGAATACTTATTGTATGTTTATGTTAATGTAGTACATATATTGCATAGACACCTATACTGTGTTCTACTATGTCTAAATGTTTAATATTTATTGTACGTATTCAATATTGAAGTAAAGAATTGTCTCTCAAATTATCTCAATGATATATATATCGTATATTTTTGAACAGGTGACGGAGCAATAGATGTCGAAGAATTCTCTTATATTTTAGAAAATTTCGGAATACCCGAAAGACAATCGAAACAATGTTTTATCATGATGACATTGGTAAGGTCATATTTTCCTGGGCATATCAAAGTGCAACTTTTATATTAAGGCCTTAATATATCTTTAAGGATCTAAATATATATTTCTCTATATTTTCCTAATAAAGACATATCGTTCATGCCGGCCAGATGGCCGAGTGGTTAGCGTGTCTGACTGCGGAGCCGATGGTCACGGGTTCGAATCCTGCCCAGGGCATGGATGTTTCTTTCTCTCTGTGTGTGTTCTATGTTGTGAATACCTTTGTGTGTGAATGTGACCTGTCCTATAAACGGGTTTGTGGTAGTGTGACGTGGGCGACACTGCTCCAACGCCGTGGCTTCGCCGCAGATGCCCACTGGGTAACGAGAAG